TTTTGTTTGTTTGTTTTTTCTTTGTTTGTTTTGTTTGGGGTTTTTTGTTGTTGGTTTATTTCTTTGGCTTTAGGGGTTGATTAGGCTTTTTTGGTTTTTTGGTGGTTTTGGGGGGTTTTTTTTGTTCTTTTTGAGCATCCCTAAACCTTCTGTAATCTTCTGAAGCAATAGTTTTGGCAATAAAATTATTTACCCATAGTTCCTCTCCTCTGGAGAGTTTACTTCATCGTGATTTTCACATGTTCAGCCACCCACCTTGTCTGAGTTTGAAGCTCTACCTATTTGAGGTACTTTGCCTGCACCATAATATCATTCTCCTTTTGAAGTACATTTGTGATCGTATATAGTAGTTTACTTTTTGGGGGCAAAAATTTGTGTTTCTCTTGTGAAATCTGAATTGACTGTAATATTCTAGGCAAAGAAGTTGAAGGCAGACTAGCACAAGGCTAGCAAGTAGTAGCAAGTAAAGACCCTTTTCTCAAACTGTTACCCTCCTGCTACCCTTAAGGACCAAAATGTCTTGAAGACCTTGGAGCACTGCCAGTCTTTTGATAGAGACTCAAGAATTAAAATCCTGTCAGATAATGTTCCAGATCTTCAGAGAAATAATTACAACCAACTTTCTCATTCTCATCCATCTCTTCCTTATTTTATTGATGATCTAGTTTAAATTAAAAAAACCTTTTTTGTGGTCTAGCTTCATAATAGGGTTGTTCTATAATATCTCAATTTGTCTCAAGCAATTTTTCTAATAGTGTGCGTCAGTAGAAGCAAACATGTGCTGAACATTTACTGCACTAACATCTACTTGGCAGATATATTTTTCAAACATCAGATGCAGTATTTTTGCGAAAGTGACAATAAGGAGGGTTACATTGGCTTTTGAAAACAGTATTAAACTTTATACATTTTAGTGCTTATTCAAAAATCTCAATGTGCTTAACAGATTATTAGGATAATTATGAAAATCTCTAATTTGCAGAGGGGGGAACCTGACACAGAGAGGTTAAATGTGTTGCCCAAAGGCACACATCAAAGTCAGAGTAGAAAACAAACGGAGCTAAAGACTCCTGACTTACATATCTCATTCAAACAAAATCCTCTTAAACAGCACAGGTTGAACTCAGGTTGAAATGCTGAGATGTAGACAAGTTCTGCTAAGTGGTGGGAGTGTTCCTTAGAAATTTTTAATCAAAAAGATGTGCTTTGCCCAGCAGTACCTCTCTAATCCACTGAAAGCTGTTCTCACCAGGAGGAAAAACGCTGTACAAGGTGGCACCTTTCCCAAATAGCAGTGACTTGGAGAGAGGCCTCAGTAGAGCTGATGGAAAGTGGAAAAAATGAGCAACAGATACAGCATTTTCTTATGCTTCCTCTTGCTGCTCCTTGTTCTTGTCTTCTTTAGCCATGGTGCAAGCAAAATAAAATCAAATAAGGGAGGGGGTCCAAATATGGCAATTGTAGGCAAGTTTAGGGGGGCATCTTTTTGGGACATCTCCAGCTTCAGAATTGTTATACCCAAAATTTGGTGCCTCGGTTACAGCATCATGACTCAGATCTTAGAGGGAGCTGAGGCACCCAGGCTCCTGGCCCAGTGTGGGTACGTGGGCTTCTCCAAAAGTGTGAGCTGAGGCCTGTGAGCTGTGTGTGGAAACAACTAAAACTAATGAGCAGGACACAGGCAGCTGAGAATGATGTGAATTGCTGCTGCTCTTTGAAGTTTGGGTGTTTCACTTGAGGCTTCATTTTGGGTGTTTCAGACCTTTAGCAAGTGTGACTGGAGTCCTTTTCTGATTAAAGATGCTGAACTAAATGTGGCTTCATGTGTAGTTCCCCATTATGAATCCTACAGAAGTGGAGCCAGTTTGAGGTTCCAGCCCCAGCTGCTTGCCTCGTTTCTCCCCCACCCCCATTTCATCTCTACACCCCTCCCACCCTCAAAGATTTTTATTCCCTCATCTGTTTCAGAATATGGCTGTACAAATAGCTTTGTGGAATAGTCTGATGGAAAAAGGCAGGCTCCCACTCTTCCCTTCCAGCCCTTCCTTCAGCCTCCCTAAAAAAAAAAGAACCCCCAACAGGGGGTGGGTTTTCATTTACAGTAGACTATTTCACTAAAAGAGTTTGAAGTGTGCCCACGCAAACAGCTGAATCCATACAGCTGAGAGTGCTGTAATCTTTGGGCAAAGAGGGAGAGGCAGGAAGATGCTGATGCTGGAACCTCTTAAACTGACTTTGCTGGCAACAGTAAACTGCACCTTTGCTCTCCTTAAAATATATCTGCAAAGGGAGGCTCTGGTGCTACGAGCACTCCCTCAGGAAGAGGAAGGTTTGCATTCACGTCTCTTAGCCAGACCTGAATCCTAGCTGGATGTCCTTGTGTAGTGAGTGATCTGTGAGTTCAGTTACTATACAGTTGTTGCTTTCTCTTTCGGTGGCTGCTGGACCACAACACTGCCAGATGCAAGGCTCACTACAGGGAAGAAAAGACAGAAAAGACCAGAGTGTTACCTGCAGATTATGCTACTCCACAGGTTTCTGCTTCCCACCCTCAGAATTAAGTGACCTTTGTATTTGATAATTGTTAAACAAGGAATCAGGAGTAATCTGTGTGCCAAGGACCTGATTTCATATCTGCCCTTTTGTGTGAAGGTTTATACCCCATCAAGTATAAGGCTGTTACAGAAAAAATGCACAGCACAAGAAATTGCTTTCCAGGCTATACTTTCTAGTCTGTTTTATGTTCTAAACAGGCTTTGACAGTTTCCCTTTGACAGTTTGTATGTGTTTGTCCTTTTTGGGCATTTTTGATTATGCCAACTAAGCTACGCAGATAAGTGTCAAATGATGAACTTCTGGAAGTTTTACAGGTCTCTCCCTACAGGTGCATGATCCTGTAACAGTTCTGGTGGAGTGCTCTTGCATTAGATTATTTCTTCATTAGATGTATAAGAATCCACATGACAGATTTTTTTCCCTGATTTTTTATTCTGTTTCTCCCTCTTTTATTATCTGTATTTCTTCCCAAAAAAGAACACAGCGTGGACTTTGTGATGCTTAATATGAAAGCAGTTCTGCAGCTGGTAGTTTTCTTTTATGAGGATTCACATACCGGTGTGGTGGTCTCCAGGTGCTATCTTAGGGTGGAACTGTCTTCTAGTTCAGCTCAAGAGTGTGCTCAGATCATCACCACTGGGTGATCTGAGACCTGACTTGTTTCAGATGAAACTAAACTGAAAAGAGGCATTAGGAAGATAATTACTGTGCTTCAGCCACTTCCAGATCACTGGACCGTGTCAGAAGTAGTGATAAGAGCCCCCCGAGACACATGTACCATGGCCATTGGTTTCTCAACACCAGCTGTTTTGCTTTATAGATCTGCTTCTGTTGGTCTACACTACTCACTAATTTAAATGTAAACTCAATTTAATCGACTCCTTTGCTGAGTCTGCTGACTGAAATGCATCCACTGAAATTGCAGGTTCTTTATTACTGATGCCCCCAGAACAACAACAAAGCCAAGTGCTGAGCTCCACATTGTCTACATTTGACTATCACAGAGCCCTGTAGGGAAGTGAGTCTTGATGAGCATGTGAACAGCATTTACTGGCACCCCTTTTTAAAATACATATATTTTAATTTTTTTTTTTTTAATTGCGTTGATGCACAGAGGTACCTAGTAATGTGATCTTTGAGATCTGCTGCAAGGTAAGGAGGTACCTAGAGGACCCTTTGGGCTAATTAAGTGTATGGTGAGTGTTATGGGCTGGAGCAATGTGATCTAACTTTCTGAATACCACCAGAATAAACTCCAGCTGAGTAAAACTTGGTTAAACGTATATATACATTTTTACAAATTACTTGCTATTGGTCTTTCTATTTTTTTTTTTTTAAGAAATGAAGCAAAAAGGGGTATCAACCACATGAGAGCTGAGGAAAAAGCTGGTCCTGTATTTGCAGCATACTTATCACTTCATGTCTCAGTTCACATCTGTTTAAGTTATCTGTTTTTAGCTTTTTGTTTCCCTGGCAATGAGAGCAAACACTGTATTACTGCAACTTCTAACAATAACTCTCTGTTTCTGTATTCTGCTGTACTAAGCTGGTCCCAAAGAGATTCATATAAAACATATTCTTTGTAACCAGCTATATTTCACATGGACACTATCTGTAAAATAATTATGTATTTCTGATGTGCACATACCCCACAAGGCCTTTAGTGTGTACCTACACAGGCATTTCTGATAATAGCCAGTTCTAACACAAACTCCATGTAATATAAACTCTGTAAAAAACTGGAAACATGCACGCCTCTAGCCATGGCAATATTCCACAGTTCTAAATACCATGTTCTTGAAATGTTCAACCAAAAAACCCCCAAGAAGTTTAAAAATAATTATTATAGTGGCGCCTTTCTTGCTGCTGTGTAGCTGAAATCCTCCTCACCATCTGCCCCTGTGCACAACTGAGATCTAACTCTGGCTTGTAAATAAATTGTGGTCTGAAGTTACTGATGCAGCCCTTTGTTCAGTGAGCAGGCAGCTCAGTGAGTGAAACAGCTGTCCTAGCACTGAGATAAGGGTGCCTCCAGCTTCGACCTCAGCAGGTATCCTACTGCCTCACTACATTACCAGCTTCTGTCTCCAGCTATGAGTTCTATGGATTTGGGGAATAACTTACACTTAAAAAGGGTTGTGTGTAATATTACGTATGGTTCCCTTTAGCTTTGTGCCTTTGTATTCCAGTTAGAGTCTCCCCAGTCCGTAGGCTGTAGGATGGCAGGAATGCATTGTGAAAGGCAAAAAGAATCTCAGATAACACAGAGAAACAGTGACTGAAGGATATGATTCTGACATTGAAGTACACCAAATTTTTTTTTGGAAAGAAACTCTCATGAATTGTAGTGAGGAAGAGAAGGGTGGAGTTTAGCTTTTTGAGTTGTTGGCCTTTAGCCAAGTAGTACTGGCTAAGGTTTAGCTCAGAGCCAACAAACTAGCTTCTGATCAAAGGGATCAATAGAGAGCAGAAAGTGTCCTTCTTTGCTGCTCTACCCTGTAAACACAATTTGGGATGAATACTGTCTCCATGGGCACCAACCTAAAAACTTCCAAAACTTTGACTTGGAAGCTATACCTTGAGTTGAACATTCCTGCAAAATACTGAATCCATTGCTAAAAATGGTAACAATAAAAGTTGTTTAACAGACTGCATTTGTCTGGCCAAGGCAGTAGATCGCATAACTGGAACTGGACGCGCCCAGCCTTGCTGCTTCCATGTTGGTATGGAATGTGGAGCTGGCTGGACTGGACGCAACTCTCCCTTTCAACGGCTAAGATCAAGCAATGTCTGCTGAACTTCAGGCGTGGTTTGATATACTAGTTAATGAGATGCAGTTCTCAAGAAGTTCTCTGCAGAGATAGTTAAAAATCTGTGAAAAACCTTGTAAGTAGTAATTCGAAACCAAACTCTTTGAACACATCTCCTGGAATATTGTTTGGGTTGCATGTCACAAAAGCATCAGACTTTTTCTTTCAAACATATGACCTGCATCTGTAATAACTTTAAATTCATTCAAGGTATTGTTTTTTCATTACTGAGAGGTTCCTGGAAAGACCAAAACACTTAAATATGGTATTTGCAACAAGGCAAAGATGCTAGAGGAGGAGATGCCATGTAAAGTATCATCAGATAAGTAGATGAACAAAGATAAGGAGTTTAAGGATTTGCAAACAGTGCCATTAGTGCAAAAATGATGGTAAATGACAGAATGGCTTTTAAATTTTAAAACTTCTTTTTTAATAGAAAATTTAATCTTTCATGAATGTTTCTTGTATTTCAGTAATCACCTTGGGAAGAGTCTGCAGCTACTGATGGACAGAGTGGATGAGATGAGCCAAGACATTGTTAAATACAATACTTACCTGAGGAATGTAAGCAAACAGCAGCAGCAGAAACATCAGGTTGGTAACATGGAAAAATCTGAATGAGAGCATTTTTTTTTCCCCAAGATGACGTTTTGGGTAGTGTTATCCAAGACAGATGAATTGGGATCTAAGCAAGATAAAATTCATACAAAAACATACCTATTAAGTCATGAGGTGGGTTGACCCTGGCTGGGTGCCAAATGTCCTGGAAGGCCACTTTATCGCTCCCCTCCTCAGCTGGGCAGGGAAGAAAAAATACAAGGAAACTCCCAGAAATCAATATGAAGACAGGGAGTGATCATGTAGCTGTTACTGTCATGGGCAAAACGGGCTCAGTTTGGGGAAATTACTTTAATTTATTACCAGTCAAATCAGAGTAGGGTGATGAGAAATAAACCCAAATATTAAAACACCTTCCCCCCAACCCTTCCCTTCTTCCTGGACTCAACTTCACTCCCTGTTTTCTCTCCTTTTTCCCCTCAGCAGCACAAGGGGTTGGGAACGGGGGCTGCGGTCAGTTGATCACACATTGTCTCTGCCACTTCTTCTTCTTCAGGGGTAGGACTTCTCACACTCCTCCCCTGCTCCATGGGCTGCAGGGACACAGCTGCTTCACCGTTGTCTTTACCACGAGCTGCAGGGGAATCTTAGCTCTGGTGCCTGGAGCAGCTCCTCCCACTCCTTCCTCACTGACCTTGGTGTCTGTAGGGCTGTTTCTCTCACACACTCTTATTGCCCTCTCTCAGCTGCCATTATGCAGGGCTTTATTTCCCCCCCTTCTTAAATGTTTTATCTCAGAGGTGCTGTCAGTGTTGCTGTTGGGCTCAGCTTTGGCCAGTGGCAGGTCCATCTCAGAGCGAGCTAGTTGGCTCTGTTGGACGTGGTGGAAGCTTCTGGCAATCTTTCACAGAATCCATCCCTGTAGCCCCCCTGCTACCAAACCTTGCCGCACAAACCCTATACAAGAAGATTTATAAAATGTACTAGAATTCACTTCTAGTGACATATAGTATGGATTTGGCTTTCTTTGCAATTTTACGTGTGTATTCATGATTTATGATAAACCAAATTAATTTATAAATACACTATAGACACAGGGATCAGACATTCAGTAAATGAAAGAGGTGAAAGTACAAGCTTTGTTCCGAAACAAATTGTGTTTTAGTTCCATCACACGTAATGTATCTAGTCATGTATCTAGAAATAAAGAAATGTAATCCAGTGGACTGTGAAGACAGCGGCCTGTTCTCTGATTGGAAAGAACATTTTAGTTATGTTTTGTATCAGTAGATAATGATACTGATTGGGTGATGCTGACTTTTAATTTCTGGTGCCAAAGGGCCTCTTTAAAATCCAAAGCAGTCTGATTAGAGAACCTTGAGTACGGAGAACAGCTTTAGGTGGCCCTGCTTAAGCAGAGGGGTTGGACAAGGTGACCTCCAGAGGTCCCTTCCAACCTTAGCTGTGCTATGATTTGGAGACATTATTACTTTCTTTGCTGTTGCAGCCTTTGATAAAGCAATGCTGTCTCTAACTATAGAAGAATGGTGGTAAATTGTAAAAAAGCACTATGAGAATGATTTAAGAGCCTGGAGAGCAGATCTCGGTGAACACAACTCACATCACATGATAAGTTAACAAATTACTTGCTTACTCAAGAAATACCTGCATGAAAAATAAATTTGAACTCTTTAATCTAGCAGACAGAGATATGACAAGATTCAATATTGGCCAACTGAAAATTGGCCAGACCACTTCTAAGATAAAATATTGCCGGTATTGCCACACGAAGTAAGTTATTATTAAAAAGAGCACCTCTGGCTCATGTGAAATGCTTCATCACTTACTATTTTAAAGTCAAAATTGCCTTTTTTCACTTAAGTAAAGTGAAGCTTGGACAGGGAATACTTCAGGGAAGCAGCACATGATCAGTGATCTCTCCTGGCTTTGTAATTCCTGAGGACATAGAAGCTTCATGCATGTTATCTTCAGAAAATTTGTTTTCCTTTACTACCTAATTTGAATAGAAAGATGGCATCTACTTCAAAGGTTTTTGTTAATAACAAGGGGATCTATTTATTTTGAAAAGCAGAGCAAAGTAGGTTCCATGGTGTCTCAATTTCTTTACTAACTATAGCTGCTTTAGTAGTGGCTCATTGTGGCATAGTTAGTGGTTGTAACTTCATTTTTGAAATGGAGCAATTGTGATTAAGAGCAAGCTGTTTCAATAAAGAATAATAGGCAGACTGCTGAGAAGTGAATGGGGTAATGCAAAGAAAGAAGAATCTACATGCAATTCACATACAAATATGGGCATTTAAGATTTTATTTTTAACATTGTCTGAAAACATGTATTTGTCACTACTACTGGAAAAAAATTACTTCATTTGATTATGTGCCACCAAGTAAGAACTGTTTTCAAACTCACAGAATCACAGATACATTTAAGTGAGAGAAAACACTCTGTGCTCTCTGCCCCATTAAAATAAAGATTTGTGTGTGTGTGCGTTGAATATGAGGGCTTTGAAGACAAACCTTATAACTAGTTCCATGCTGTGACATACAGTATGGAATCTCATATACATGTTTTCGGATTTGGGTACTTCTGCAAGAACAAATGTTTATCCAAAAGCTGCAGAAATGGTCTGCTTCAATTTTTGTAAAGTTTGAGTAATCTAGATGGGAAAGAGAAGCACTGAAAACAAATATTTTTTTATATATATCATAATAATTTCTACAAGCTGCTACTCCAGTATATCCTCTAGTAACCCACAAAGAAATGGCATTGAAGTGGCAGAATATCTATATAACTGGAATAGAGAAATAAATCATTGTGCTTGGTTTCAGTCACCACTTCGTTCTCAGTTTAGAATTAATATTTTTTGGCTTAAAATACCTTATTTAATCAAGTTTGCTTCCCCTTTCACATTAATATTGTTTTGACCTTTAACTTGCATAAAATGGAAAATTTCTTGTTTATATAACTATCTGAGGTAATGGTTTCTCATACCTACCATATTCCATACCTTGCTTTTCTCTGTGGGGCAATGGAGGCCTTTATCTATCATGCTGCATTCTTTCCATCAGACACAGCATTACCCCACCACCTCAGTACCTCATAGTTCTGCAGCATCTCTCTTATTTAAGGTGCCAGTTTGTGAGGTGGGGACAGCTTGTTGCCAGTGACTTGCAATAAACTGTGAATCGCATTAGCATTGTTTGAAATAACCTGAATTGCATTGAATAAGTGTAATTTTTAAAGCATACTTGTTGGTTAGTAAAAAGCACCTGGAAAGAAAAAATTTTTGCACCTTTGGAAGTCCTGCTGCCTTCTGAACCTGTTGCTTTATTTTCAGTACCAGCAGAGACGTCAGCAAGAAAATATACAGCGTCAAAGTCGAGGAGAACCCCCTCTTCCTGAGGAGGACATCAATAAACTGTTCAAACCACCACAGCCACCTCCAAGAATGGAGTCACTCCTTATTGCAGGTGATGTTTAGCAGTGTTTTTAACTCATCTTTTCATATATGAATGTTAGCTTGAGGAAAAAATGCAGTTGTATCCTTTGAAAGCATCTTTATTTTTCATTACCTTTGCCCTTATGGTGTGATATTGTGGCATTGGTAGCTTTCCAAATACTGTCCTTGATGTGTTAAATTTGGGATTTTAAAGGAGAGATGGAGAAATGCCCACAGGGCAGGCTTTCTACATGAGTGGGTGTAGCTGCTGCCTGCACTCATGCCCCAGCCCCTCCCTGAGCTCCAGAAGTTCAGGCAGGAGCTGTACAGGCAGGAATAAGCTGTTGGGGCTGGAACTTCTGATTCAGAGCAGTTGACTGTGGCCCTAAGTTACTGATAACATTTCTAGGTTTGAACTGGCTGTTGCAGCAGCTGAGACGGTTTTGCTTTTAATTTCAAATAGAATGAGGATAATTTCATTGATTTATATGGCCAGAGATTTAGGAAACTATCCCCATCGTCTTGGACCCCAAGGGAATGAAAATATAAATGGGAACAAAGCATAGATAGGTGTAGGTACCACCCCCCAATTTCCTGTTTGCTGGGCATAGCCACAGTCAGTGCCTGTCCTGTGCCTCGTGGAAAGGTAAAAATACTGGGACTCCACAGTGTCAACAGACAGCAGACAACCTAGATGCCCTACTAAGTAAAATAAAATTGGACAATGTCATGAGAAAGCAAATTGTTTAACCAAGCAGGCTATTTGGATCAAATAGCTGTTACCTTGTTTTGTACTGAGACAAAATTAAACCAAAATCCTGGTAATATGCTGTACAGCAAAGAGTGCTTTGATGTTAAAAAAAAAAATTCATTTGAGTTACTGGTCTTAAATTCTGAAGTGACAAAAAGATTATTATTTTAATATTTAATACTTTCATGCTACTAATAAGGGCTGCTTTTAGAAGAAATAATATTCTTGATTTATTATTCCTCACAGAGTCTTTAAAAAAAAAAGGTATTGTTTTGATAGTTTTTACCAGTTACTGAATCCTAGCACCATTAAAGTATTTGAACTTTCGGCTCTAGCATAGCTTATAAATGTGTGTATGTGTGTACATGTGTGTATGTGTGTACATGTGTGTTTTATGAAAGTGATAGCTTAAGATGAATCATCTCCTACAAGAGAAGGAATTGAAAACTATTATACTTAAAGGAAAAAACAGTTTTCAGCCAGAGCACTTTCTTTGTTCTTTTCCTATAGTCAGGGGAAGAATTGAAAGCATACACTTCAGCTTAGATGAAGTAAAGTTTGTGGATAAAGAATAAAACTTAGCTCTTTTGTCTCTGAGGCATTTAAAAACTTTTCAAATAGAGCATTACATTGAGAGTTTATTGGCCTTCTCAACAGCCTGAATTTTGATTAAACTGGCTTCATGTTTTGCTTTTCGTAGTTAACAAGGGAAATAACTTGTAGCTGTAAGAGTATAAAAATGCTTTGATGGGCATGTTTGATTTGTAAAACACCAACAAATCTTCATACCCTGATGAATCTTGAAATAGTGAATAAAGTGAAATGTTAGGTGGAAAAAAAGGCTAGCAGAATGTCAGGAGTACCACAGTTTTCAGTCTGCTGCAGAAAAATATGTTTTACAAATATTTTAACAGGGACAGCAGATACATAAGAACAGAATTGAAATTCAATCTTGTAGTATTTTTAGAGCATCTAAATTGAGGAATTAATGTGATTGAGCTTTCCGTGCAGCGGCAAAAATTGTTTATTCTTTTTATTGTCCTCTGTATTTTCAGAAATTGTATGTAAAATTGTAGGAAGATTGAGGGGTTTTCTGAGCATACCAGTTAACCTGTTCTCCTGATTTAGTTTCTTCTTCTTCCCAAACCTGTTTGGGAATCCTGAAAATGTAAAATTCCTATGTGTAGAGTAGTTGAGCAGTTTTGGTTGCTTCTTTCTATAAATCCTCAATGATTCACATTCATTTGGCTTTTGAAAAATGGTGTTCTAGGCAGTTTTTCTAAATTTCAAAACTGACAAGGGTTTACTCTTCTTTCTTTTTGACAGGTCAAATTAATACCTACTGCCAGAATATTAAGGAGTTTAATGCACAGAACCTGGGCAAGCTTTTCATGGCTCAGGCTCTCCAGGATTACAACAACTGAAGAAACTTTACTGTAGCCCTCAACAGGAAAAGTTATTTACGACTTTACACTGTTCATGATCATCTTGAAAATTTATTAAATTGGGAAGAGAGTCTTATAAAACAGAGTCACTTTGGTTTGTGTAGAATTCTCATGTAAGAAAAATAAAGGCAAATTTTAATGATATTTTAGTGTTTCCTTGCTTGGTGGCTCTATTGAACTGGAATTTTCTATGGTCACTCAGGTTTTATAAATGTTAGACAGTTATTCATGTTTAGTCATAGTAAATAATACAGGTTTTATTTAACTTGGGGGCCTCTGGTGGTCTAGTGGTTAGGGTGCAGGACTCTCACCGCTGCGACCCGGGTTCGATTCCCGGCCCCCTGGGCAGATGGAGCTCGTTAGCCCTGTGTGGCAATCCATCTAAGAGAAGGTCACTCTAAACAAACCTACGTTCTGAGACCCTCACTGCCACTGTCCAAGCTTGCTTGGCCCCGGCAGATGAACCTCAGGATTAAAGGGTGGGCTCAGTTCAGCGCATGCTGTGTCTCACCTAAAAAATCCACTGCGCAGGCTCGAAGGGTTAATGACCCTTCCCAAATCTTCGCTCGCAAAGACTGGCCATTATTTAACTTGGAGTCAAAAATAAAAACAAATATTGCAAATGTTCAGTATAGCTGACTTACAGAAGAAATTTAAGATTTCCCCGTTTTCGTTGGGAAGTTACAACCGTAACTTGCTAGAGACTAGGGACAATTGCTCATTTTTGTTTTAATCTGTTTACACAGTCTGGTGCAATGGTCCTTCCATATCAAATGTTTCACAGAACTTCACATTCAGACCATACAAAACCAGTGTGATGTGGAGACTGGTTCCCACCATACTGTGCTATGCTGGGTTCTCATATTCTCTTGCTACCACCAACTGAGTTGAAATCAGAATCTGGAGTCAAAAATTGGAATGAAAACCAGTTAATGATTGGACTTAGTGATCTTAAAGGTCTTTTCCAGCCTAAACGATTCTGTGCAACCCAGTGGTGCTGCTGAATTGTTTGTGGTGGAAAGTGCAGAAATAACCAACCTGGAGCAGCCAGTGTAGTGTAAATGGGCAGCACCTGCAGTAGCTTTGCCATCTGGATGAGCCTTTATTCCTGAACTCAGGCCACTTATCTTTTTAACAAGAAAGTTAATTTAAAGGTTTAGTACGTGGAAACTCACACGTTACTGTCATTGATTTCCTCTTTTTTTTCCCCTCTTGAGCTCTTTCTTGCATGTCTTTCAGCCTAAAATGGCTGAAGAAGTGTGGTTTGGTCCTAGCATGGAGTATTTCAGCCTCTCAAGTGAATGCTTTGGAAAGTCAGAACTGTGTGAAAACTGGAGTTTAGACTAAGAATTTACTCTTTTCCAATCTAAACTATAGTGATTGCAGTATTTATGTAGATATGGATGCAAAATTTGTTCAGTCCTCATGTATCTGGCAAATTGCCAGATTGATCTTTTACTTTAGAAAGTTTGGGCACCTTTTTTGTGTCAGCTTTCATACAGTGAACTTCTCTGAAATCAAAGATTACTTAAGTATCCTGTTACAGTGCCACATGATTGAGTTTCATTTCCTATACAAAAAAATATTCAAATTGTGTTAATATTTCTAGTTTTCTGTAGCACCAAAATAACCACCAGGGAACAGAAGTAGGAGCAGATAATTAGGCTGAGACATTTGAGAGAGAAAAAAACTATCTTCTGGATAACTGGGAATAGAAGATTGACTCTGTAATGACTGTGCATGGAAGGAAGCAGCAGTAACATTATATGTACTAGGAGGTCTGCAAAGGAGGTGTTAGCAAAATAAATACTTGGAATAGGTTAAAAACAAGCTGTGTGTTTTGAGTTAGTTCCTTAAGATTGAGGATGTAAATGTGAGAAAGAGGGCAGTAATATTCTTCTGTGCTGAAGTTTAACAAGATCAGTGGATTTTATTTGACCGGATCGAATGTGCTAAATGTCAGTTAAAGTCCATGAAGACATAAGGAAGACTTCAATAGAGACTTTTGACTTCTGAAGGCATAGACCTGAATCGGACAGGGAAATAAGATACAAAAATAGGTGAGGTGTAAGTAGACTTTGCAGAGGATTTGACTGTTCTGTTCTGAATCATACTTTGGTCTTCTATCATGGTGGAAATAATTAGAGGAAGCCTGCCTGAGCAAGGGAGGTGGAGTCAGTTGAAGGTGTTGATCTATAAATGAGAACCAACATCTGTGGAGATTAAACATTAATGGGACTAGGACTGTGTCTTTGTGCTGGAGTAAGTGTGGGCTTTCCCCACTATTTCTATATTTCTGGAAATTCGCTTTTACGTGTTCTTTTCCTAATGCGAGTGAGCTGGCAGCTTATTCACCATAAGTGTTCTTTCTAATTACCATACCACTACCTATATTTTCTCTTTCCTTGTTTGTAAAAGGCTTTTCTGTAAAACAATGAAAATGAAGTGACGTGAGCGTCTCTGAAAATTACGTCTAAAAATTTAGAACTTCTTTTTGGTCAGCAAGCAATTGCAGAGGCAAGCAAGGCCTCTACCCTGTGGTTCCATCTCCATTAAGTGTCCACAGGTAACAGACATACAAACACGAGACAAAATGCACATGTGAGGGAAAGCCTTCCCTTTGGTGACTATACACACAGTCTGCATCAAGCCATCGTCTCTCCTGTCAGGCTCCTAACCATGCAGGTGTGTGTTAACTGGTTTGTAATTGGTTTTCATTTGTGCAGAACTGCAGTTCTTGTAAGAGAAAATGTTAGTTTGGAATTCAGCTGTAATTGGCATGAGTCTTACAGGCTCTCTAAGTGAGATGTAGTGTAAGTCTTTCAAAAGCGAGGTCTGAAAGGGAATAAGGATGAAAATTATCTTAGTTTTGATGCTGAAGAAGAACAGCATTTCTTCTAGTTGTTCAGTACTTGGGATCTTCACCCATATAGCTCTAATTTTGCTGTGAGATTTACTGTCTCTGTTTCACTGCTACTTGTGAAATGTGTAATTGTACTGATAATTTGAACCAATGTGGGATGTGAAGTGCCATCTCCCTTAACCACAGCACTAGCTCAGGGCACAGTGCCAGGGGGGTGCTCCTCTCCCAGTGCCCTTTTCATGTGTAGACAAAACAAAGGCTTTGCTGGTGAAGGGTGGGGTGGGTGCAACTTGGTCCATAAAGAGTTAGAAAGTTACTGCTCCAATAGTTTGAGGTAGTCACAGTAATGGTGTGCTCCTCCTCGATCACAACACAAAGTGGAATAGGTTAATCTCAGCCTTTCTAACAGTCTGAAACGTCTGCTTGTACAGGCAGCCCGGGTTGTCTTCAGGACAGGCTATAGGAGAAGATACTAAACTTTGGATCATCTATTGGTTTAACTGAAAAAAGTAATTCCTCAGATACAGTTAATTGCCACAGCTGTTGTCAGAATCTAGTCCTTAACATTAATATTTATGGAAAATGAAACTAAATGGGAGAGTTCTTCTGTAATCCAAAGAAAGATACTTGGTGTGACATTGTCTTGACACCACAATACGATGCACTATTTCTGGTGTTCTCAAAGTTGAACCAAACTCCATCTAAATTGTAAAGTGTTCTGCTGCTGACTGCCCACATAGAGGAAACCTGGGCTACTCTCCCACCTTCTACACAGGTTATCATGTACTTTTTCTTCTCAGCTCCACATGATGTTCCCCAAAATGCTTAAAACATTTTGGAGGCTTAATTTCTACTCCTGCACATCCTGCCAAAGTCTGGACATGTGTGCCAAACTGACCAGTGTGGCTATAAGGTACTGGCAGATAAAGATGGGTAATGGTTGTGCAGATCTAAGCACCTGCACAGAGGACAGAGTAGAGAAGGTCTGGGTGAGATTGCGGATGTCATTTTTGATGCTAACAAGGACATTGGGTGGGATTGGCATTGGCAACCAGTAGCAGTTGTAAAGAACCTCTAACATCTTTGTGTTTATGCTCTTTATACTTTGTAAATTTCTGAGCACGTTCTTGTTGGTCGGTATTGCCCGATTTTTTGCCTTCTGACAAATATCTGCTATGACAAATCACTGGTGACAATCTGAGGTATCTTTAAGAAGCAAGCACTATTTAATGGCTCTCACTTGACAGTCAGAGGACTCCGGGTGCTCTGTTAAGATGTCATTAGGAGCTGGCGATGCAAATAATATCACCAGCCAAAATATGTGCAGTGTGTGCAGTAAGAGGAATTGAATTGCTCTCTGTAGAACTGCTTCTCATCTGGTTTGACAGCCCTGGGGCGAGAGATATGTCCCTCATGATTTTCCATGCCTGTGCGTTTTCTTCCCTTGGATTTTATGCTTCTTTTTAATTTTCTTCGGATTTTGCCCACAGCTTGTTGATTTTTAAGCAAAATGAGCATGCTGCTCTAAATCCAATGCCTTCTGTCACTATGTTCTTTACCTTTTCATGAATTCTTCTGGAAAGCTGTATCTGCAGTTGGAAAGATGCTTGAAATTTTGTGGTCTTAACATAGCATTTATGGTGGAAGTTTCAGTTGCTCAGGTGTCAGATATGGTCCCAAATTCAACGTTCTCATGCTTCTTGCCTTCAGCTGCATGGCCCTGAATGCCTCGGCACTGCTCAGGAGATGGTGGTGCTGCTCCTTGGGACTAGTCCAGTGGGACTTGTTCAGAAGCTTTTTATGTTGACTTTACAACTGCAAGGAGATTTATACAAAGTTGGGCCTGTATTTTATTTTTGATCTTTTAATTGATAGAACAAATTGCTGTTGACACAACTCATCATATGCCAAGCAATAGTGAACTGCACAGAGCTGGGGAAGATGTCTGTAAAAACAACAGTTTTGGCAAAAGCTCCTTAATGAGAGAAAAGTTAATGGCTTATTTCAATTAAAGCAAACATTTATATGTCAGGAAAAATGGCCAGATCTATTTTACAATGATATTAAAAGTGTCAGTAAAATAAACAAGGAAGAGTAGCAATGTATTTATCTGTCAGAAACACAGCTAAAGACTTCCAAACTTTATAAGATGAAAAGAATGTGTGCAACAAGGACTTCCATTCTGGTTTGAATGATCAAATTGTTAAATCTCTCACTGAGATGGTGTTCTTTAATATCGTACATTACATCAATATTTTGATTTTACTTTTTCCTTCATCTG